CTGAGGAGTGGCCTGTGGCAGGGGTGGCACCCTCGTGTGCACACATGACTAAGAAGCATCTGACTCAATGAACTACCCTGGCTCTAGGCAACCCCGTGTATCACCTGCACTGAGGGTCACAAAGAGGCTGCCAGGAACCATGGTCACAGAACCCAGAGAGCAGAGAATGGCTTTAAGAGCTGTTCAAAAGAGACAATTAACTGGATTTGGAGCATAAGGGTGATGGAGACTTGGATAATGATTTAAAGCTTCTAAGGCTTTTCTAAGTTGGATGGTTAAGTGATGGTGACCTTCCAACCAAAACAGGAGATATAGGAGAAATGAGAAGGTGTGCGAGGAAAGATGATTAATTTTGAACATTTGGGGTTGGGATTTCTGTGGGGCATTTCAGTGCTGACATCTGACAAGTTTACTGGCCTGAAGCCCATTGCAATCAAGTGAGTCACAGACATGAAAGGCATTGATCTGCATGAGCTCATGTGGGGGGCAAAGTCCAGAGAGAATGAGAAGAAAAAGAGTCAGGAGCAAAATATGGGAAATGATAGCATTTAAGAAATGGATGGAAAGAGACAATTCAAAAAGTGAGACAGGGTAAAAATGGCCAAAGAGGTTAGAACAGAAACAGATGACCATGACCATGGGGTCATGAATGGGGTCATGGCAACTCCAAGAAGACAGAGCCACATCTTATTTTACTCCATTATCCTCAGTTCCTAGTGCAACACCTTGCACATCAATAAAATGTGGGCCTAGCATCAATTTGAATGCATCGTTAGTTGATGAGTTTAAAAAGGAAATGGTCAACTCTAGCAAAAGCTGCAGAGCAGGTAGGTATGAATAGAGATGTCTGGTGGCTACAAGTTCTCTGGTGATTTGGGAGAGAGTAATTTTGGAGAGTTTGATGGAAGAAAAATGCTTAACACAGTCCAGGCTGACCCTGGGCAAAAATATGAGATATTTTCCTACCTGGAAAATAACTAAAAAGCAAAAAGTGCTGGGTATATGGATCAAGTGATAGAGCACCTGCCTAGCAAGTGCAAGGCCCTATGTTCAAACCCCAGTACAGCCAGAAAAAAAAATGCTTAAAAAGCTCCATGTGACTGTTGAAGCACCCACTTCGCACATAGTTGGGGTACCTGGGGGAGGTGTGCATGTCTGTGCACATATCAATATATATAGAAATGCATTTGCTGAGCACTACTGAAGGACATGTATGCACTCTCCAAAATTACTCTCTCCCATATCACCAGAGAGCTTGTAGCCACCAGACATCTCTATTCGTACCTACCTGCTCTGCAGCTTTTGCTAGAGTTGACCATTTCCTTTTTAAACTCATCAACTAATGATGCATTCAAATTGATGCTAGGCCCACATTTTATTGATGTGCAAGGTGTTGCACTAGGAACTGAGGATAATGGAGTAAAATGAGATGCGGCCCTGTCTTCTTGGAACTGCCATGACCCCATTCATAACCCCATGGTCATGGTCATCTGTTTCTGTTCTAACCTCTTTGGCCATTTTTACCCTGTCTCATTTGTTGAATTATTTCCTTTCAACTCGCTGAGGACTACTGAAGGATAACTAAGTGGCTGCTGAGTTGTCCTTGTTTCCTACTACTTGATGTGTCCTATTTGGGTATTATTCAAGTTCCCTTACATCTGTGCTCCATAATCCAATAACTGTAACACATGAAAATAATACAGAAAACACGAAGCTAGAGTGAGTGGTCTTATAATGCAGTCTTTTTTTCTCTTGCAAAAGTTCTCACAATGTATTGTAGTTGAACTCACCCCTCCATCATTCTCCTTTATCCCTCCTTCCCCCCTTCCTGGAATAGTTCAGCAGGTCTCACTTTTCCATTTGCATACCTGAGTACATAATATTTCTAACACATTCCCTCCTACACCCTTGCTGTATATCCTTTCCCCTCCCTCCCCAGACAAGACCTGTTTTACATTCCTATTTTCCATTTTTGAAAGAAAACATTTTTGTTTAAGATAGCAATACAGGGAGCTTCACTGTGACATCCCCAAGTATATATGTATTATAACCCAAATTGGTTCATCCCTTCTGTTTTTCTCCTTTCTATCTTAGTCCCCCTCTTCTTCTGGCGATTTCAACAGGCTTAAAAATTCTATATTCATTCTTATATAGAAAATACATCAACTACATTCACCTTCTTAACTTCCTTCTTTTACCTTCCCTATCCCATTAGTGATCTCCCCTTAGCATTAATTTTTTATAGTATTGCTCATATTTGTATAAGGTCTGTATTCCACATATGAGAGAAAACATTCAGCCTTTGGCTTTCTGAATCTGGCTAACTTCACTTAAGATGATGTTGTCTAGTTTCATCCATTTACTTGCAAATGACAAAATTTCATTCTTCTTTATGGCAGAATAAAAATACCCCACATTTTCTTAATCTATTCATCAGTTGTAAGGCATCTGGGCTTTTCCCAAAGCTTAGTTATTGTGAATAATACTGCAATAAAAATGGGTGTGTAACCATTTCTATGGATATAGAAGTGGTATTGCTGGATCCTATGGCATTCTATTTTTAGTTTATTGAGGAACCTCCATACTGTTTTCCATAATGTTTATACTAATTTACATTCCTCCCAGCAATGTATGAGGGTTCCTTTCCCCACACACCACTCATACCCCCATCCTCACCAACATTTGTTGTTGCTTGTGTTCTTGATGATAACCATTCTAACAGGAGTGAGGTGGACTGTTAATGTGGCTTTGATTTGCATTTCCTTTATGGCCAGGAATGTTGAGCATTTCTTCATGTGTTTTTTGGCCATTTGCACTTCTTCCTTTGAAAAACCTGCTTAGTTCACTTGCCCATTTCTTCATTGGGTAATTGATTCTTTGGGAGTTTACTTTTTGAGCTCTCTGTAAATTCTGGTTATAATCCCTTCTCAGATGCATTTAGCTGGCAAAGACAAATCTCTAGACACATATGATCAACCAAAATTGAACCAAGAGGATATAAATCACCTAAAAAGATCTATAACAAACAATGAAATTGAAGCAGTAATAAAGAGTCTCCCAAAAAAGAAAAGTCCAGGACCTGATGGATTCATTGCTGAATTCTACCAGACCTTTAAAGAACTAATACTAACACTCCTCAGTCTTTTCCATGAAACAGAAAGGGAAGGAACACTGCCAAAATCATTCTATGAAGTCAGTTTTATATTCATCCCTAAACTGGACAAGGACACAACAAAAAAAGAGAATCATAGGCCAATCTCTTTAATTAACTTAGGTGCAAAAATTCCCAATAAAATACTGTCAAACCAAATTCAACAACATATCAAAAAGATCATACATCATGATCAAGTTGGTTTCATCTCAGGGATGCAGGGATGGTTCAACATATGCAAATCATTAAATGTAATTTATTATTAACAGAAGCAAAGACAAAAACCACATGATCATCTCAATAGATGTAGAAAAAGCCTTCAACAAAATCCAGTATCCTTTCATGATAAAAGCTGTAATGAAATTAGAAAAGGCTATACACAATAATTAATATTAATAAAGGCTATATACAACAATTCTATAGTCAACATTATACTAAATGGAGAAAAATGGAAACCATTTCCTTAAAAGTCAGGAATGAGACAATGGTGTCCACTCTCTCCACTCTTACTCAACATCATTTGGAACTCCTAATTAGAGCAATGAGACAGGAAGAAGAAAAAAAATTTTTCCAATAGAAAAGGAAGAAGCCAAACTATCCTGCTTGCAGATGACATTATCTTATACCTAAAAGACCCAAGAAACTCTTAGACATCATGAACACCTTCAGCAAAGTAGCAGGATACAAAATCAGTTTACAAAAAATCAGTAAACTTTGTATATACCAACAATGAACAGGCTGAGAAAGAATATAGGAAAACAATTCCATTTATAATAGCCTCAAAAAATACCTAGGAATAAACTTAACAAAGAAAGTGAAAAACCTCTACAATGAAAACTATAAACCACTGAAGAAATTGAAGAAGACTGCAGAAGATAGAAACATCTCCCGTGTTCATGGATTAGCAGAATAAATATTGTGAAAATGGCTATATTACCAAAACCAATCTACATGTTCAATGCAATTCTCACCCAAATTCCAATCACATTCATCACAGAGAATGAAAAATCAACCCTAAAGTTTATTTGAAAGCACAAAAGACTGCAAATAGCCAAGGCAATACTGAGCAAAAAGAGCAACACTGGAGGTGGCACAATACCCAACTTCAAACTATACTACAGAGCCATAGCAATAAAAGCAGCTGGTACTGGCACAAAAGCAGATAGGAAGACCAGTGGAATAGAATAGAAGATCCAGATAATGAATCTACACACCTATACCCACCTGATTTTTGACAAAGGTGCCCAAAACATACGATGGAGAAAAGACAGCCTCTTCAGCAAATGTTGCTAGGAAAACTGGATATCTGCATGCAAAGAACTGAAACTAGATCCATTTCTTTTGCCCTGCACAAGTATCAACTCAAAGTGGATTAAGGACCTTAATATAAGGCCTGAAACTATGAAGCTAGTGCAGAAAAGAGCAGGGAATATACTGGAACTTAAAGGCAATAAGTAATAATAAGGCAGTAAGTTATTAATCAGTAATAACTTCCTAAATAGAACTCCAATGGCTCAGCAACTAAGAGAAAGGAATGACAAATGAGACTGCATGAAACTAAAGTTTCTGCACAACACAAAAAATGGTCACCAGATTGAAGACACTGCCCACAGAATGGGAGAAAATCTTTGTCAGCTATTCATCTGACAAGGGATTAATAATGAGCAGGTTGTTTTTAAAGCTAGAAGTGCATGGTCCTTAAGCTGCATCAGGCATAGAATAGCATGAAAGAGGTTGTGACGGTCTGGAGGTGTTAGATGTGGAAGGCAAGGTTACTGTGCCAATAATGCACCTTAATCATCTCCTGTATTCCCCACCTTCCAGATCTTCCCCTGGAACACAGCTTTACCTGATGAGGAGGAGCCTGTCCTTTTCAGAGGGATGATCATCCAGCCACTGGGAGAAGCGCGCATGGGACCACTCTGCCCTCTGCAAGGTTGGAACACAATTAGAGTACATATACATTCCCCAGCTAATGGCTGCAAATGCTTATGCAGAAAATCGTCTTGAGGACTCCCAGGGTGAAATTATTCCCAACACCTGCCTCAGAGTAGTATTCAGAAGTTGGCTCAGGCCTTTGTGATCTTCCTGACCATCCAGATAGCAGGTCAGCAAAGATAATGGTTTCCATCAAAAGAACTTCATGGACATAAAATTACAATAAAATTACTTATGACATTATTATTTAAAAGACTAACTCTGGTAATTAATCCATCAGGTAAGTGTTTTGAACTACTAAGAAAGCAGATACTGCACAGTGGGAATTTTTCATTTCATTGCCAAAGACAGACATCCATGACTAAATAAGGAAGGAGAGGGCCAGGAACCCACTTAGTGAGGAGGCTCAGTGTTTATAAAGTTAACAGAGGAGACTCTCGAGAGAGTTCTGACTTTACTTTATTACCTGGAAGGGGGATTTCAGCTCGGCAGGTGCTCTCGTGAACAAAAACTGAATAACAACGCTGTATGGAATAATATCCCCCAGTGCTGGACTATTGGCCACATGTTCGCTTGTCTGGAAGAGCAGTGGTCTAGAAGATAAAGCAGAAGTTAACTTATGCTGTTCAATATTGTAAGAGATAATCTGGTGGGAGAATCATTCTTCTTAGACTGAATACTGAAGAATGCCTTCCCCAATAAAAATTCTCCATTCAGCCCCAAGATGCACACATGTGCATATATACGCCCACGCTTTTGTATGCTGATGTGTCCTTTTAGCTCCTTCCTTGACTGTGGCCACTGGTAAATGGGTCTGAGGTTACGTCCAGTTGACTCAGGAATGCCTCCTCCTAGACTTCATTTAGCTAGTAAGCTAAAATCAAATAAAGTCCAAAACAAGGCATTTGAGTAGGTATAGCTAATAAATCCTTACCTTGGGGTCAATCCATTTAGCTTTCATTTTACATAGAATCTTCCTTTAGGCTATAGTCTAATATGAATAAACTCAAACATTCTCTACAAAACCTTTCCATATAGCCATTATGTCTTTGTATCAAAGTTAGTAGTAACAAAGTTATTGCCCTGCTGACCATTCAAAAAAAATTTATGCTAGCTCCTTTATAATACACATTTCTCAGTCTCACCGCCACACTTTTACAGGAGGGGCATGCAAGCAAATATACTCCACTACCGGTCATGTGCAAAAGGCTGCCAAGGATGATTTGAGACTGTTATTTCATGCCAAGAGTCAGATGTGCTCTCAACAAATATTTGCTTGTTGGAACCAGAATCTTAGAAAAAAATGTCTTTATATTAATTATTCTATAAGTACTATGTATCCCTGACAGGGATTTTCTAATTTCATATGCTTAATCAAATAACACCACTTTTGTCATTTACTTTCTTTAGTTATTAGGGAAACATTTCTGTTCATTTATGTTGTCTATCACCTGAAAGCTTCAAGTTTCTGGTGATAAGGGCTTCCTGTGGCCACAGTGAGGATGTACCACATCTGCTTGTGAAATGTTCAAGGCCCAAATCATTTTACAGTCTCCATGATGCAGGGTCTTAGGTTGTCAGTAAAGGACTTAATCAGGTATGACAACGTTGCTGAGGTACTTTTCATTTTGACTGTAGGCAGCCCTCTCCTTCTCCATGTGCCTAATGTTGTCTTTATCTAGGTCAAAGCTTCTAGTTTCAATGACATCATCATCAACAGTAACAACTCTGGTACATAAGCACTTACAATGTATCATTCACATTTAAAGCTTTCTAGAGGGTGAAGTCAGCAAGATGGCAGAATAGGAGATCCCGGGCTTTACACTCTCTCCCCCACCCAATGTCCAACTAGTAACTACTCACGATAAGAACACCTTTGTGAAAACTCAAATATTGAGAACAGGACTGATACACACTCATGTGGACCACATATAAAAACTACACCAGAAAGGTTAAGAGCAATGGTCTCTCTTTGACTGCAATATCTACTCCTATAATTAGCAGAGCACCACACCAAGGATTTACTGGGCCCACAGTTTCTAAAGCAGGAAGAGAGAACCAGAAGCAGACTTAGAGCTTCCTCAGCATTTTGAGATGCTGTGCAGAGGCCTGTCTTGCCTCACAGGCAAACACAGGTAATGGCAGCCTAGACCCCTCTCCCTGTGTCAAAAAGAAATAAAGAAAGGAAGAAGAGTTCATAGCAACCAGCAAGCAGATTCTGTACACCTGACAGCAGTGGTACCTGATTATACATACCAGCCAATTATATAGTCTATCTGCAAAGTTGAGCTGGTTGCTTTAAGAATCCCAGTGGAAAGCCCAACCTTACTTAAGACCCTAGAGTCAGCCTCCATGCCCAGCCTCAGACCTCACAGTAAGGTTCTGCCCAGGGAAGGAGATGTCTGCCATAATGTATACCTATAAACTGCAGGGGCTAGACTTGCCTGACTCGGGAGTACAAACAGTGGCTCCAGCCAATCTCTGAGCCCACTCTACGATTTGGCACAGGGAAGGAGACACCCACCACATGTCTTTCTATTTCTATACAGCATAACCTCTAGATCCATCCATCTAGAGCAGATGATTAATTTAGGCAGATGACTCTGCCTAAACTCAGAGCCCAGCCTGCATCCTGCTCAAGCCTGAAGTACTCAAGTAACAGTAACACCCAACCAAGAAATATACCCTCCTGCAATTCTGCCAGATCAGAGATGATTGTGGTGGCCAGCCAGCAGTTCTACTTGATTGCAGGGTACAGCCAGTGGTCTTATCAGACACTAGAGCCCAGTCAGCAGACTCATCCAAACTTAAAGCAAAGGCAGATGCCCCAATAGCAAGTTCTGCCTGCTCAGGTCAGTATCAGCTGGTTCATCTGGAACCACAAGCCAGACTCAATAGTGATGTTCCATCAATGCCAAAGAACAGCTGTAAAGGTCAGAAGAGGTGGCCATTTCCTCAAATGCACAGGCACCAATGCAAGGCTACAAGGATTATAAAGAATCAAGGAATCATAACATCACCAAAAGAAACAATAAGGCTTTAATAATGAACCCTAAAGAAATGGACATCTGTGAAATGACTGACAAATAATTCAGAACAATCATCTTAAGGAAGTTCAACAAACTCTAAGATAGAAAATTAAATGAAATTTAGAAAATACATAAACAAGAAATTTAATATAGAAATGATAAAAAATGAAAAATCCTAGAGATGAAGAGTGACTGAACTAAAAATTTCAATAGAAAGCTTCACCAGCAGACTTGATTAAATATAAGAAGTCAGTAAGCAAAGTCAGAGTATTTAAAATTACCCACTAACAGGAGAAAAAGAAAAACAAGAAAAGAAAAACCTACAGGAATTAAGGAATATCATCAAGAGAACTAAGATTTGCAAAAACAGTTTTAAAAAAGGGCCAGAAAGAATATTTAAAGAAATGATGGCTGAAAATTTCTTTATCTGGGGAAAGATGTCAACATCCAGCTAGAGGAAGCCAACAGGTTTCCAATCAAATTCAACCCAAAGAGGAATCACCCAGATACATAACAATCAAATTATCTAAAATCAAATAAAAAAATTCTGTAAGCAGCAAGACATAAAAAACTTATCACATACAAGAGAATCTCAAAAGGGCTATCAGTAGAAGTTCTTTAGAAAGAGGTGCTAAGAAACACTTAAGTTTCTTCTCTTAAGAACTTATGTATTGCCTTCTTTTTGAGAATGAGAGAATTAGATAGCTGATTCTGCTTCTCTTTTATCTTAGACTTCAGGAAGTTTAAAGCCAAATTTGAAACTTGGCAATTAAGTCAGTTTTATGTTTGAATATTTGTGTTTTTCTTTATTTTCCTCCAGCATATTCTTAACGCAAACTTTGGTGATACAAGGAAGGAAGGAAAGAAGAGCAGAACAGAGAGAAGGATGAGACAGAGGGACAGAGAGGGAGAGAGGAATAATCTAGACACACATACATAGAAGGTGCCATGTCCAGAAGCCTGGCACATATGGTGGTTGCTGGCTGAGATCCCAGCATAAGCCAGACCTGGTAAAAACCTGCTCATTTTAAAATAGGATTTTTTGGCCAATCACCTGTCCCTTTGGAGCTATGATTCACAGAAGCTATTCTGACAAAATCATATTCCACACTGGTCACTAACAGAGCTGCCAAAAGGGCTATGAAAAGCAAAATTGGGTTTGATTATGTATCATGCATCACTGACTTAATCATCTATGAACATTAAATGCAGACATTTTATTTCCAGTGCTTGTTTTAAAAGGCAGAAAGAACACAGCTTGAGCCCTCCCCTTTCTCTGATTCCAGGTGGGATTTGAAACACCAGAAAGTCAAAAAAATAAATCACCATCTGAAGTGCTTCATGAAACAAAAGAAAACTAAGCAAAGTAAATAAAAGGCAGATCTTCTAAATTCTATAATATCATTCTTAGAGAAGTTTATTCTAAATATATCAGCACTTTCAAGAATATACTTTATGGCCAGACAGTAGAGTTAACTTGTTAAGTATTAGGTCCCTTAGAAAAGTTCTATTTCTAGTCAGGGACAGTTACATTTAAATTACTCATGGCTATTCAGCTGTCAGTTTTCTGACAGCTTGTTAGGGCCAATCATGAAATAAAGTTAAGACCAAGGTCCTGCTGCTGCCGCATCCATACCCAACATTAGTGGCTGCATATTTCATGCCATTTGCCATTATGTCTATTCCTGACTTGCACTTGGTGAAGGGTTTGGTAAGGCAACACGACCCTTGAGTATATGCACTGAGCTCAGGAACTCATGATTTTATTTGGAAGACAGGCTATCTTCCCTGCACAGGACATAAGGAGGCCCTCTGAGAGAAGAGGTAAGTGTTAGAGGCCCTGTTAGAGGTGAGGGGCACTAAGAGACCCTTTAGGGAGGTGGCTAGGGGTCATGAGGCTAGGAGGGAATGATTCAGGAGGGTGGTGATTAGGGTTAAATAACAGCTCAAAGTAGACAGGTTGGCATAGTTCTTTCTTTCTTGGAATCTGTTATCCATCCCAGCAGACCAGGTAGAAAAGAAGGCAGGGGTTTCATGTAGAAGCTCTCTTACAATAAAAGTGCACATTTGGTTGACTATTCCTGGTGCCTGTCCAGGAATCTGCAGGCAGCAGAGGACAGTAAGATGAGGCCTTTCAGCACCAGGAGGTAGCCAACAGATTCTCTTTAAAATTTTCTAACATTTTCCTGGAGGATGCTTGTGAACACTCAAGGGCTAGTCTGGGACCAATCAGAGTGAAAAGAAATATGCTCTTCTGTAATAAGATGTAGGATACAGGCTTTGGAATCTGGGATTCTCTAACCTTCCAGCCATGCCATGCCGACTACTCACCCTGTCTGAGAATCAACTGCCTCACACAGGTCACACCTAACTCACAAGTGTGTCAGTAAAATGCTTCCTACAGGATTGGCATATAGGAAATGATCAAATAATGGTTATTAAAAATGATAATAAGCTAAATACTTAACTCTCTTCAGATATCTGAGTCCTCCTAGCACTGCCAAAGCAGCAGTAGGTAATAATATCACCAGCCAAACTGAAAAGGTGGCTGCGCTAAAATCCTG